CGATCTGAAAACAGTTCTAAAGTGTTTCCTTTCTAGTTATAAAAAATGCATACAAAATATTCCTCAAAAATGGGAAGCATATTTCTCGCCCACATGCCTAGTGTCTTTTTTCTTTTCCTTAGTTTCAACAGGAAAAAGGTGGAATAACAGTCACTGATGTTGCAAATGGTTCGTACTTTATGCCAGACCACATGACACTCTAAACCTCCTTGCATATACTATCTATACCTTCAATCCATGATGCATTGTTTTGCATGATATTAAGGAAAACTAATGTTCCCAGGGACACCGGCGTAATAAGAAGGATTTCAGTGTTTATCATCAGATTGCATAATGTGACCAAAAGTAAACAGTCTGCTCCAAAAGATTTCATATACATCCTGTATAGATGTCTAACAAGGCCTGATGTTCTTGTCATGTCTCTCATCGAGCTGCTTCCCACTGCCTGCCAAGAATTATTAGCTTTATCTCATCCAGCAAAGTGTTTGCAAATGTACACAACCACCAGAAACTGAAACTGCTAAGCTAGCTCAAAGCTTCCTGGACTAGGGAAATTTGCTCCTTTGCTTCCAATACTGATCCAACAAACTCAATGGTACTGCTACAAATGCAGAAAAATCAGGGGAACATAAAGGAAGAGAGGCAGAGGGGCTTAACCCCTGCACTTGTGATCACCATCAGCAAGCAATAGTCTCAAAGAAAGGCCTGAGTAGCTATATGGTGAGTCAAACCTTGCTTGACAGCCAGCACTAGTAAAGAATATATTCAGGTCTTCTTCAGTTAGTGCTATCTTCACTGCTGCACTACACTTCCAAGGCAGTTTGTGAGGCTTCCACTTTCAGCAGCCTTCTGTATTTTTCCTTCAGCTACCTGCATCAGGTAGTTATGTCCTCCTAAACCAGTTGCTCAAATTGCATACCATGAACTACTGACCAAGGCACCAACTTGACCCCTCCTGGCTAAAACATGCTGGCAGTGAAAAGCAAATTCCCATATTACAATTCTGAGCTGCTGGCATACATGGAAAACACCATCTTCCAGGCCCATCTCCCCCTGCTGCACAGGGGATAGGGCTGGTGCTGGGCTACACAGCTGCTAACAATTAAGTGATCCTGGTAAAGCACACTCCTCATCCAATAAACCCCTCCTAGGAATGTCACTCCTACCCTGAGAATCAGAGGCACCTCAAGAATGCAGAAATTTTTTTCTTTTCTAAAAAGGAAAAAACATCTCCTTTAATCCTTTGCTCTGCACATGCTAGGGGAGGAGAGGCTAAAGGGGCCAAAGGAATCTCCTAGAATGCAAACAATTTGTCATCTGGCTCAAACTCAGCAATTTTATTTCAGCCTCAGGAATATGCTGTATGTATCTTTGTCCTGTTGTGCACTCAGAGAATTTTGTTGAGGTTGCTTGAAAGATTCTTAGCAGCAAGTTGACTGCAAAGCAGCAGCGGAATATCAAGGCCAGGATGGTGATAGAAAAGCAAAGCCAAAGGTGATGACCATAAATCAGAGAAAATCAGCACAAGACAGAGCAAAGCACCACAGAGAGAAGGAAGTATGTGTGAGGGAGTTCAGCCATTCTGAGAAACACTTGGCTGTCAGTGTTAAAAAGTACCCTTTCTAACACTGCTGTTCTCCCATTTTCCTCTAAAGCAAATGGTTTGACACAGCAGACCCCCCGGAGATTCAGAATTTCTGTGAAATTATATTTGCATTAGTAGCATAGCTTGCTGGAGTCTTTAATTAAAGGCATTGAAACAGCTTTTGCTGTAAGCCTTTCACTGCAGTGGCAAAACTAGAAGTCTCTCATCTAAGCCACCTATGGGCTTTCATCCCTTCAGTCTGTGCAGTCACCAAAGGTGGTCGTACCAGCACCTGCAGGATCAAAGAGAGGTAACAGAAACTTTGGTGATGGGAACTGACTCACCAGCTTTTGGAAGAGGTCCCCCACACGTTGCTGGTGACTCCACTGCTGCACTCGGGGAAAGAGTCCATCATAGAACTCTTTGTGGATCTCATAGAGTTCAGGCACTTTGAAGAATATTGTCTCAATCTGCTGACTAGTCAGCACAGGCTGAGAGGTGGTGGCAGCTGCTTTTAACGGCTTCATAGGCTGAAATCAGCAATGAAGGAAATTGTTATAATGCAAACCAAGTACTTCCACCTTTGCCACATGACAACACATCCCTCCAGAGAGCTTTTTTTCATCCTATTAATAAATTCATACAACTCCTGAAAGCTAGACATTAATAAGTTCTCTCATAGAGAACAGTCAGCCCAGTAGGTGAATTTTCCCAGGATACTAATAGTGTGATTAAAATCCCTTTGCACTCCATTTCCTTCATCTTTGTCCAACTGTACAGCAACATGTCTAATAATTAGCACAGGGCACTGAATACTACCACACTAGTAACTCCCTGCTTGTGCCATATCCAGTCCTTTCTTTAAGCCTCTCTACTGAAGGAGTAACAGGTACCTTTGCACTCTTTAGCCTATAGTATGTGAAGTTCTGGGAAGCTTTGGATGGATGCAGCAGTGAAAATTCAACACCCGTGTACTTGAAATTATATCTGCTACCAGCACTTACCAGCAGTAGAGCCTCCAGGTGGCTCAGGTAGGTCTCCTCACTGGCTAGGATTCCTGACAGGACCCATTTTCTCATTTCCAGGCCTTTCTCTAGGTCTGGCTCACTCTACAAAGAAGTTGTTAAGGAGAAAAATTAAAACAATTAAATGAAAAAACAAATTTAAAAAAAAAAGAAAAAGAAAAAGGGAGGGTGAAGAAAGAAAAAACAAGAATGAGGATGGAGAGTAAAAGGTATCATTCAGCTGATCACAGCATACTTCATTTTTTTGGTTTACTTTTAGATTAAAACAAACAAAAAAATCCCACCTGTGCTCAGTGTTGTGTTTCTAGAAACACACAAACATAAAATACTAAAGAAAAATTGTATTTACCAGCAACTGATGTCACTCAGATTATTGACAGGTGTTGGCTTTAGTCATCCAACTTTGGTGCCTCAGTTGGGTGCCCTGACTTCTTCACAAAATACAAAATACAGAACTTAGAAATTCAGCATTTATCCTCCTCAAAAAAAGTCTTACAATTCACTTCCTCTTCCTATGAGAGTTCTCTGTGATCTTATTCCAAAGCCATGTTTCTCTACCAGACAGGATCACTTCCCCTGCATCTACACAATGTCTTTGAATATAGGCAGTTACAGCCTGACATGGCTGTTAAGACGGCTGCTCTCTCTCACACTCTCTACACTAAACTCTTTTTCAGTGCTGGATTGCACACTGTATATTTTTAGTTAGAGGATGGAATAATCAGCACTGCTTGGAGCACACGTGCTGATTTTCTTACTGGGATTCCATGCAGAAGTCCTTAACCAAAACAACAGGAAAACACACAAACAAAAAACCAAACAATAGCATTCATGGGCAAATGAATATACATCAAGAGAAAACTAACATCAAGTGTTAAGAGAAGTAATGTCTCCTGTTGAGTTCCAATTATCCTCCCTCTCAAACCTGTTACCTGAAAAATATGAAACTTGATAAAGCGAAATTGAGTATTTCCATAAACTCTGAAAAATACGTGGCTGAACAATGAAGGTTACAAATCATGAGAAACACCCCTCTTTTACATAATCTAATTTCCAGTTCTTTTTATTTCTGTTATTCACAGAAATGGCTTTGTAAAAGTCTTGCAACCTTTTAATGTTGTTAAATGTCTCTGAAAATTGAGTCAGTAGTTGGATCTGAAAGGGTAGATAATTTTAAAGGGCTCTGGGTTGGTTGTTTGGGGCTCCATCCTATTCCTGTTAATATGCAGAGGAATATTCAGCTATTGATTTCAGCAGCAGGAGGATCAGAAAACATAGCAGTATGCTCCACTCTATTAGCTGACCATAAAGCCCTTCTATAGTTAACAAAAAAAAGCTCCATTTAGTTTAGGGTCCTATGCTCTGAAGGTTCATGAGGTTCATTATGGAGGGAAGGTGTCTTGCCTATAGGTAAGCTTACAGTAACTATCACATTCTGAGTGTGACTTTGAGCCTAAGCACAACACAGAGACTGATCCTCACACTTCCAGATATTTCTGGTTTCAGTCTGTTCAATAACCGCCCTGATTTTTTAACGCATCCATTAAATTTCACAAGATATTTTCTAGGCCAAAAGACCTTGCAGCAACTTCTTTATAAAGATTTTGTGAGGTGTCAAATATCCCCATCACCTCTTAAATAAAAGTGGCAGACAGAAGCTGTTCTAAGGAAAGGAGTAAAATTTACACACGTCAGGTACTATATGGAAAGAACTCGTCCTTGCATCCCACCTTCAGTCAGGTTCAGTAAAAAACACAGTGCCTTTTAAAATCTTGAAAGGGCACCTCAAAGAAGCTAAGAATTTGTAATTCAGCAGTCGTGTGCAGAAGATTTCAGAAAAACACCCATGCCAAACTACATGATAAAAAGAACACTGCAACAGATTTTGTGCATCTACAGAGCACCCATGTGGCTGCCTGTTAGAACTCAATCAGAAATGTGCAACAATGTTATGATCATTCCTTATGCTTTCTGTACCAGTAGTGCCTGGATGTGCACCTTCTGGACCATTTTGTAAGGCGTGGTACATACACATAAATCAAGACAGACAGCCCCAAGATATCTAACAAAGATTGCCTTCACCAGAAGAGGCAGGGATGTAGCTGTGTGAAGCTCCCAGCAGCCCTGGTGCAAGAAAAACACAATACTTCTTGCTTTCCAAAGATTTCTTACAACACTTACAAAAGAAAAATGCAGCTTCACAAAGAAGCATTGAGAAAAACTAACAGTGCTTCAAAGTCCCCACTGATGAGGATGAGGTAACTAGTCAATATTGACACAGCACTATAATTATCTTTAGCAGGTTCTCTTGGAGGAGGTGAGGATTTAAAAACCAGCTGGGTATGTTTGTAACATCTGTGAAGAGCAGCACACAATGACAAGTTATTTAAATGATTTAAACTTCCCCACCACGACAGTGGCACAACAGTTTTCCTTATAGTACTGAGAACAGTTTTCCTCTACACAAATAGAAGCTTTAATTTACAAGCCAGTTCTTGCTGGGCATCGTCAGCTGACAGAAACAGCATTTTCTGCCTGAATGTTAATTTCCTCTCTTTAAAAGAGATGTGCTTTCAGAAAGACAAACATCTCCCAGGACGCACTAGAGCCCTTCCTTCCTGGCCATTACCACAAGGTCACTTTGCAAAGTCTGTGGTATTGTCCTAATGCTTTATAATAGGAGTATTCTCCAAGCATGATGCTTCCAAAGCTCCAGCCTCTGATGCACGCAGCCAGGGCAGGGCCTGCCTGCTCTAAGCTACAGCACAGCAGTTGCTTAAGAAATCCTCAAGGGATTTTATCCAATAATCACATAGTACATTACAAGGTTTCCATGCAGTACCTGAAATTTACATATAGATTCCTCGTATGTGAAAAAATTATCTCCTGCTGTGTCAGAGATCTGTAGTGCAACCATGGAGCTGCTACCTGCATTGTGCTGCCTCTCTGTAATTCTGCTTGGCAGCCGGTGCCCTGACATGAGTTCCCTGCTGAGGGAGGCCTTTTCTGACAGTGTCATCGGGGGCCACATTAAGCAGCATCTCTTGCTGCTAGATGAACATCTGGAAAACAGCCCCTGTGCTTCTTCAGCCTCAGGATGCTTTTAAAATTGCACTTGTTATGAAACGTACTCAATGACTGAGAAAATTGCTGGAAGCTGATGCAAACATCAGGATGAAGAGGAGCAAGTCATTGTATTACAACATTCCTCACTTAGAGAGCTGGGAACAGGCTCACCTGCTTACCCAAAACAAGACAGAGCAATTAGCAAGCAGAGAGGCTGCAAGACTGCCCTTCCACTATCCCCTTACAGCATGCCAAACCAGGATGCACTCAGTGCCAAGGGCATTTTCTGCTTTGCCCTTATCTGACAAAAAAAGAGAAACAAAGAGCAATGCTGTGACAACAGCCTCACTGTCAGCTCTGTTCCTGCACTACAGGCAGAAGGGAAGGCAAGGGAGGGAAGATCCTAAGCATAGGTATCAATCTCCCCACTGGTTCAGGGAGACCTGACAAGGCTGAGGACTCCTTTTCCCCAACCCTGGCAAGAAGGAAGCAGTCAGAAATCTTTGCGCTGCTTGTGGCAAGGGGAGAAGCTGGTACCACATCTACCAGACCACATTAGCTACGAGAAAATACACCTATTAACCGAAGTGCAGATGGGATGTTCCCAGCAGGATGTGGGAGCAGCCTATATTGGCAAACCCTAACCTCTCAGCAGGGAGTGCCAGGTGGTCAGCAGTCCATCTCATGCTTCCTATCCAGCTTGGTTAGCCCATTTTTCACTTGTACAAGTCTGACTAGTATTTCATGTTCTGACTCTGTTCCTAACTCTTTGATGCCAGCACCTGTTTCTAGCCTTTCTCCATTGCCCTTCCATCTTTTGGTTCTTGACCCACTAATTCCAGAATAAATCTATCTTACAAGACTATCACGGGGCAGCAGCCAAAGCATTCCTGTCCATCTGCCATGGGAGCTGTGAGGATCCAACATCCAGCCAGTTCTGAATAAGCAATCAAGAAATCAGCACTTTGCTTCCACTCCTCATAAACTACATTTAAATTACAACCAACCAAACAACAACAACAAAAGAAAGGAAGGTGGAAAAAAGAAATACAAAGAAAGTTTCACAGGTGTTTCACACCTACAAGGTTCCAGTGTTTCCTTCTCAATTGGGTGGTGCTTCTTGCTATTCCAAAGGTAGAACAACCAAAAGATTGAGTCACAGTCATAAGTGCAATCTTGAGACCTGACCCAAGGCCAGTCAGAGTAGTTAGAGGTATTGCAGATATTAGAGAGTGTGCATACACTGGCCCTGAGCCATGGCTGTCTTGAATATGTTTACAGCTTGTCAGCCTAAATACTTCAGTTTACTAGCCAGGTTGGCATTGCATGTTGTATTCAATTACTACGAGCCTGAGATTCACCAGCTCCAAGGATTAGACAGATTCAGCTCTTCCTGATTCTGTTTAAATAACTCATGGCTTTCTGGTTGTTGTTTAAATTAACAGCAATAATTGTTTTCTTGCAAATGCTAGAAAAACACAGATTAAGAATTCAGAAACCACAACATATAAGATTTTGTAAAGTGGCTGCTGCTAGCTCTGTGAAGAGACTCAGTGATTCAAAGTGGGTGTATAAAAGGCACTTCAACTCTGAGACCTTCCTTGGTACAGTGTGCTCATATGCTGTGCAATCAATGTGCTCAAAGGGAGGTTTCCTGTAAGGACAGCTCAGAATCTCATAGAGAAGCTGACAACCTATGAAAGAGAAAAACTATTTACACTTTAAAAATTGGACTTAATATCTCTGAAGGCTTCTGCTAAACAGGCTGGAGGTGTCTCATTGTCTTGGTGATATTAAACAGGGCAAGTTCTGTAATCAAGCCAATCCTGCTCCATGCAGGGAAGGGAAGGAGCAGGGAGAGGAGCCAACATTATTTATAACATCAGTACTGGTGTGCCAGCTCTTCTCAGGAAGGGCCGTGCATCCAGGCAGAGCCCTTAAGGAGTAAAGAGTTGGAGAAGAAAGAGGAAAAGTTGCATCTGTTGTGAGTGGTGAGGGGAAAGCAGCAGTAAAACAAAAACAAACAAAGCCGAATACTGAGAGGAAGAAAGGAGAAGGATTTGGAAATGCTGGAAAGGGAAGAATAAGCTAGCAAAAGTAGTATCAAGCAGAGCAGTAATACCATCTATTGATGCAGCTTCAGAGGTCAGCTTGTCTGGACCCCCTTGGGACCAAGCCAGGAGAAAAAAATTTTTACTGTAAGAGTGACAGAGCACTGGAACAGACTGCCCAGGGAGGTTGTGGAGTCTCCCTCACTGGAGACATCCAAAACCCACCTGGATGAGTTCCTGTGTGATGTACTCTAGGTGACCCTGCTCTGGCAGGGGGGTTGGACTAGATGATCTCTCGAGGTCCCTTCCAGCCCCTAAGATTCTATGATTCTATGAAAAGCCTCACCTGCTTTTCCACATGGCTGGCAGATGCAGAGAACAAAAGGATCTGCTCTGAGGACTGGCAATTGCTGCCAATGCTGTGCCAACCACAGACTGCACAGCAGAAAAGAGAAGATAAATCCTACCAGGAAATCTCTTAAGTATCTTCCAACTTGCCCTCCAAACAGAACAGAAGATAGGAGTTGTTCAAGCTTTAGCACTCCTCCCTCCCTGGGTGTGATACATACAAAAGTTTGAGAAGTGACCCCTCTCACTCCCCCCTTTCTGGGGGGTGGAATCAGCCTTACCCCTGCACTGGCTGCCCTGTGCACACCTCCACAGAGCCACACACCCTCAGCTCCAGACATGTTTTTTGAGCCTGGCTTTATTGGCAAGCAGATCTTGAAAGGCCTTTCTTGTTTCTAGTCTCCCCATTGCTGCAATCCCTTCCCCACATGAGAAGCAGCAGTTGCAGTATAATGAAGCTTCCCATCCTTTCTCAGTATCTTTAGCCTCCAAGCTGCAAGCTACTCACACCAAAACTTTTGGCAATAACACTTCTCTAGTGAATGGTGTCAGTCACTAACTTCTCCAGCTGTCCCAACACCTTCCTGGGCCCCAAGAATACTGTAGCAATCTCTTTCTCTGTACTTCTCTAACTATCCAGGTGTCTTCTCCACTTTTTATCCTAACTGTATGGGGAAAACAAGCATATTATCTTCTCTGGGAGTGAATGATCGCTACCTATTACAACCACTGACACCTTCTGAAGCCACCAGCAACTGTCTAATTTGGCAATCATTTGGGCTAACATTTTCCAAGATGAGTTTCCAGAATTTCTTGAAAGTTCAATCACAACAGTTCAACTGTTACACAAAGCAAGGTCCAGGAAAATTAAATCACTTCTCAAATTAAATAAACAAACAACTTAAGCATTTATCCTTTTTCCTTCTTTCCCTGTAGGCTTTCTTCAGAGCAACAAAGTTTGGCAAAAGTACTGGCTTTATGCCAGAACATGTGTCAGCAGCTCAGCACTAGATTCTGGAAGAGCCAGAAGAGGGGGTATGACCTAGCTTACTTAATCCAAACTTCTGTTAAGGTCTCCTTACCACAAAAATGACAAGTCAGAGGATGCTGAAATCAACACTACAAGTGCTGATGTTGATCGTGTCCTCTCTGGGTCCCAGACAAAACTAATGCTAGTGCAAGTTTTGTACTCTCTGTGTAAAGCAACTGATGTTTGTGCAAGGGACACATAGCAGGTAGAATATTTAGACTATATACAGAAGAGGTGACTGAAGTCTGTTCAGAGACAGACCAGCTAGCATATTTTAGCCTTCTCATATGCAGGTGGTAGGTGGGATCTCAAACACAAAGGTGTAGATCCCAAACAACAAGGTGTAGAACACCACAGACTTTCTAGAAGTCAATTGCAGCCCACATTCCTGAACACAAACATGAGGTGCTGAAAGTTGGTCAACCTACTCAGTGAGGAAACAACTTGAAGCCCCTCCACAAGTAGTCCAAGAGGTATCCCTTCATTCTCTTTTAGAGAGAGACACAGCTTTTGCCACTCTGCACTTTCTCTACAGTAGCTGAGTGGAACCTTGATCCAAAAAAAGGCTGGAGCTGCTATTAGGAGATGGAAGGACTTAATCAAACACTTGGCAGAATAATACAAAGCCCAGAGAAAGCCCACAAAGTAAGCCAAAGAAAAATGCCCTTGATATCCAGAAGGCAGCAACTCAACCTCCAAGAGGAAAACTGGTCTCATGGACATGGCAGATGAACAAACATCACACCAGAAAGCTGCTATGTCTATATGATGCTAAACAAATTACTTAGAATCACATTAAAAAACCCCACATTGTTTGCAATGTTTCCATTTTCTGGGTGCCTGACTGGAGTGTCATCAACTCTTGGTTGCAAGTGAAATGGAAAGAGATTTACTTTAAACATGAAGGAAACTGCATTATAAAGTCAGAACTGTGTTTTGCAGAACATTATGCATCTCACTTTTAGCACTCAAAATTAGAAGATGCTTTTTCTATAACCTGTCTGCCTTGATTACCTGTGGTTAGTGAACATACCATCCTCTTATCTCACAGGAACATTACAAGGATAATTAAGACCTATGTAGCATTCCAACTGTATTTGGAGTTAATGGTCATGCCAAAAGGAAATGAATGCTTTTGTACTCAGAGTTTGCAGAGTCTCCTATAAGGGGTACGTGGAGCGTTAGAGATAAAATAAGGAATCCAGTGAGTATCATTCAGTACCCACACTGAACAATGCAGGACTCCCATAAAAAAAAAAAAAAAAAGGATATGACTGAGCAACTAAATGACATCATAAAGATTGAAGAGAAAGCTATAGCTAAAAGGTAAGGCTGGATAACAACAATAATTTTTTAACTTCTTAATGACTTCACAAGTTTAATACTTTGTGTATAGTGCATGTGTTAACTGCTGATTTCTAGACTCTGGTCCTAAAGATAATCTAAAATAGAAATTTTACTTAAGTTCCAAGCTATAGCCATGCTACTGAACATGAAGCAAAAATAAAGCAATATAGCCTGAAGATCCACATCAAACCACAGGTCAGGCTATGTGGTCCCTTCTGAACTTTTTATGCATCACAATATAATCATATAAATAGTTATTTAGTGAATAGTCAAATTCTTTATAAGAAGTGGTCATCTCCCAAAGTCACCACAAGTCAGAGCTGGCAGATTTAATTCCTCTGATTATGTTTTCATGGGGTGAAGGAAACAGATCTTATATTTTAAATGCTTTATCAAAGCCTTTAACCCACCTGTAAATAACTCTTATTTTCCTCATTAAAGGCAATGACGACCTACATGCACAGATGTGTGAACATCATCATGAAGGATGCTTTGTTCCAGAGTCTCCTTTCCAAAATACTTGGTATTTAGAGACACTCTCAACAGCAATTAATCACCAGTTCTCTCCACTAGAATTCACAAAGTGTGAAAAACCAAGGCTTAAAAGTCATAGACACAACACTTATCGCTGAAGATTAGGCTTAGCATGGGCTAGAAGCCTCAATTTAGCTTTAAGTATACAATATCAATTAGGCATTGCTGCAGCATGTCAGGTCATCTGTCCTACAGTGCTCGCAGTCCCTGCCTGTGCTCCCTGCTAAAGCAGTCCACCCCTTGAAAACCTGCAAGGTTTTGCTGACTTCAGAAAGGCAGGAAAGGACTCACTGATTTTGTAGACTCCAGAGACCCAGAAGACAGCGTGTCCCGGCTGCCCCGACTCTTGGAACTGAGATGGGGTGAAGACGATGGGGAGTCATCAATATAGGGCATCATATCATGATGCCTCCTCTGTTCTTCAGCACGGTCTGCATCATAGGCATAGCTGGGTGGTGTGCCACTGAATGAAGCATCTGGAAAACATCAGAGAAACATCTGTCTGGTCAGAGTCATGCTGGACAGGAGACAGGCTGGTCAACCAAGGCGCTGCCTGCTCCCCAGCTATTATGATTACTTATCAGTAAACCCTGAGTCAGTGATACTTAAATACAGATCAATTGGACGTGTCAAATTTAATTAAACTGCTGTTGTCAGCAAACATTCACTCACTCATTCTAAGTCCTAAAAGGTAAAGTTCTGTCTAATATGTAACATCAGTGTCCCCTTACGTACAGCTCCTTCCTTCAAGTTTTCCTTCAAAAGCATCAAAATAAATCCTTTCACAGGCTCCATAAAAGTTATGCAGACTGGGTTTAGGAATGAAGTGGGTTTGGGTAACAGGCCCTGTTTTTTCTGTAGAACAAGAACAGATGATGCCCCTGCCCATTAAGTACATGTAGATAATACATATCTCAGGGGAGAAACATAACTCTTTCCAGACCTCTTAGGAACAAGAGGACTAGGAAAGAAAGGTCTTACATGTCAAGCGAACCGGCCTACTGCCAAAAATAAAATCCAAAGAGGCCCTCTTCTGTTGGCTGCCCCTTCTCCTCAGTTTTGAAAATAACTCCTTAAACAAATTAACAAATCACCAGCCTGCTCCATTCTATACCTCTACCCCAAAACAAACAACCCAAAAAACAAATTTTAAAAGATGGTGTTAAGAAGACTGAAATTAATCATTATTGCATGAGTTTTCTATGGGCAAGATGAGTAGCAAAACTGGTTCTGCTATCTTTAGCAGCTGCATACAGAGACTGTTTCTGAAGAAATCTATATTAAGGACACCTATATTAAGGACACACACACTGAGCAGCTCCCTCTACCACATGTTCAAAGGTCTTTTACCTCTGTGCACAAAGAAATACACAGAGAACCAAAATTTGCTTTCAGAACACTGGGACCACATCACATAAGCCTTTCCTGAGAGAAGCTGGAGACAACCTTACACACAAGTTACATGGACCTGTGAAGGGCTTTCACTTGTCAGTGCTCACAACTGTTTTGTGTGTCACAGTCATATCTATGCATGGACTATCGAACACAAAAGGGTGGAGTTTCCTCCTCCTCTTCCACTTACAAGTCACAAAATACCCCTCTTCTCCCAAAAACTGAAAACTAACCCCAGGAAGATAAGCTAGATTCACCTTAGCAGTTGCAGCCTTATGGAAGACAAAGCCACTAAAAAAAAAAACAAAACACCTTTTTTGTCTTCTAAGTTTGAAATTACACATTAAATTCACATTTGAACACAAATAGAACAATTTTTTACTTGTTTTCACAAATATCCAGGTTCTCTGAAAATAATAAGCAGAAGCCGCCAAGCATTCTAATAATCCTGTTATACATTGCTAAGGCAGGGTGGAGGAGTAACATTTTAAAGCCCACTTTTCTCCTTCACAGTAAACTCAGTTAAAGCATGACTCATTCCAGTAAAGGATGTGAACTTTGTGTGCAACAGAATAAAACTTGATCCATGTGGCTTATTCAGGGGGGAGAGCTGGTCTAGGGAATTTACACAAACAATATACTGAAAATCCAACAATAAACTCATTGTAGAAATGAGCCTCTGCCTCAGCTTGTACCAAATACCACCCAGCTAAGTAACAGCTGTATGCAAGGCCTTTAGGCTCCTGAAGGACCATGGCAATATTATTTTAATAAGCTCAATGAGTTTTATGTCACCCACCCACACGTAGTATTACCTTGTGCTCTGGGTCTCAGAGCTCCTCAAAAGACACGTTAGATTGTGCAAGACCACAGGACTGAGGCTGAAGTTTGAGGCAGAGAGGAGGAAAGGTGGTACATGTTCTCTGGAAGGAACCATTGTCTACACGCTAGAGCTTTCCAGAGCTCCCCAGTCATTTAGAAAATGCCCTATTAAGTTGGATTCGCAAGCAGAGGTTTGAAAGGGAGTTCCTGAAGTAAAAATGCTCAGTCAAAAACCAAGAGATTTTTAGATATTATGAAACTGGATAATGTCAACAAAACCTACAAGACAGACAAATGTCATGCTGGAATTTTGAAAAGCTCTTTGGCTAAAAGAATATGAAAGAGAAGACAGCATGGCCCCTACCTTGCACTACCCAAACAGGCCAGGAAACTCTAAAAAGTTAAGATACCTTCCTCACACACAAAATGGATAGTCTTCTGTTTGGTTGGAAAGTTAAGGGACTGTTTTGACTTCAGAAACTAGAATTTTAAGTGATAAGGAGGATGGGTGCCCCTTTGCATATCTGCACTATTTATCCCATACGAAATCAAACCAAACCAAAAACCCAAACAAGAAACCATAACACTATACAACTTCAGGGAAGGACTGCAGATAGCTGTTTTCCATTCAGCTGTCCCTTGTGCAACTCTCTAACCCAAGAAGCCTGCAAGATATTACTGACAATTTCACACTGGCATTATCCAAGGAGGAACATGAGTACTAAGTGCTTATGTAGACTTCATGTCTTTGATCCAGCAACAGTTCTTTTTCCTTCAGAAGTCTCCCTAAAGTACTCTTATCCAAACCAGTTTCTCCTGCACACATGCAATAGTAACAAGACCATGTTGCTGCACAGAAATTAAGGAAGGAATATTTCTTTCACTCACTTTTAAAATTCATAGTTTGCTTCTCTTCTGTTAATGGGGGTGTGAATGCAGACAAGCAGAAAGGCTCACAGTGAAATCACAGTATTTTCACTTTCCTCACTTTCTCCTGCTAAAAAGCAGGCTTCACACTTCTACCTTCAATAACATGTTCTGTCTCCTACTGCACAGGAAAACTCTGAAACTGAAGGGCAGGTGGAAGACTTGGGCTCAAAAGAGATTTATACCTAGCTTTGCAGCACAATTCAGTCTACCTTTGCATCACTTTTGTACATAGAAAGCTCCACACAGCACTTAAAACTTTTATTTCTGTATCCTCTAGGGATCCTTCACATATTAAAAAGCTTAGAAGTAGTTATAATCCTCTTCTATTACTGCTGCATACAGCACTAAAATCTACCTATGGAGATTTTCATTATCTCCAAGGTAGAAGGACCTTTTTGCTTTTATTCTACCATTTTTTTCCAACAGAAGCAAAGTGTTACTGTAATTGGATGCACCACACAAGTCAACACTAATAACAGAGGTAGACTTATATCTCTGTCATTGAGACCACTGTTGCTAGGGAAACTAGGTTATTCAGATCTCCTAAACCCAGCACAATGCTCCAGAGGCTTTTGAGGGTCTCTACCTGAGAGCAAAAAAAGACTAGAGCAAACAGATTAGAGCCAGGAGCTCAACTGCTCAGATACTTCCAGATGGTCTAAGGGCTGCTATAGTAGATGGCAAGTGGAGCCAGCAGCTGGGCCCAAGCAAGAGCACTTGGTTTCTTACCCAGCATCTTAGGTAGGATGAGCATTAAGAGGGCTCCTATTCTTCTTTTAGGGCCAGTCATCAGTAACTGAGCCATTAAAGCTAGAGAAAGATGGAACACACCTACAGTCAATTGCTGACAAGGAACAAGTAAGGAAAAAGGGCAGGCACATGACAATGTGCTGAAACACGCACTGAGAGCACACCAGAGAAATACTGAGGACACTACTGCACATGTGTTATGCTTCTTTCACCTCACCAGCAGGCCTCTATTCTTCTCCTCTTTGGATAATCTGAAAGAGATCCCACCCTTAGAGAAAAGCACCGCTGTGACTTACAGAAACAAGCCCTCTCAGCACCTAAGAGTAGCTATTTCTACCACTGGCCCTCTGACATTGTCTTACACAACCCCTCTCCTGCACCAGTACAACCTTCTGGTGTAATGAACTCCCCAGGACTAAAAATGCTCATAATGAGGTCACACATTCTGCTAAAAACTTCACGCATTTACTTCCACCTTTGGCTCTAACACCAACGACCACTCTGGCCTTGTTTTGATCGAGCTTTTAAGAATCTCTTCAGCTCCTCTCAGCTACTACTTCCATTTCCTTACTGTGTCTGCCCCCCCTTTTTTTTCCCCCTTAAATTAATATTCCTTTTCTTTATTTTCCTGTTTCTCTCCTCTTCTAAATTGCTCCTCTCACTGCCTCAAATTTCACCTGGATGGGAAGTAAGGAAAACTAATAAATTTACAGTTACTCACAAATTCACTGGCACTCAGACAGCACAGCAATACTGTTCCCTTGTCCCGTTGCCTACACCCTTCCTGCTGCCACATTCATTCTTTGGGAATATGAAATCAAGTAATCCTGAAAGCAGGATGGGAAAATGAAATTAACTTATAAGTGAAAAGAAAGCCCAGTTGCAACTATCCAGGACCCCTCAATGGTTCAAATGCATGTGTCATACTTCCACAGCATCACAACATCCGTAGCTGCTCGAGGTTTAACAGCAGCATGCAGAGAAGCTTCCAATCTAGCTGTGCTCCAGTTAATCCTGCTAAAAGAGCAGTGAAGCCACAGCAGCTCAGACCTGCCTGCCTAAGTAAATACCCAGGAATCCTTGAGGGGGGGGGGGAGTTGCACCTCATGCCAAAGCCCCACATCACTGTGGCTTCACTGTAAATGGTACCAAGGCTAGTGCAAGTTTGGAATGTCTATACTCACTCTCCAAACATTCTCACAGCTGCAGAGCAGAAAAGAGCTAATGCAGTTTGTATCCTCCGACTATGTGTTTCCACTTTAGAAAATGTGAGAGGCCATAGCTTGACAATGGATTGTTTTGGCAGCAATAGGATTGTAAGGTTTCCCCCAGCAAACCATAAACCACTGCATGACCCTTTCCTCTCTTATCCCCTTAGTTCTGCAACCCCTGATAAAAGAACTCAGCCAGCTCAAAGAAAAATATCTTGAAAACTTGCCTTCTAAGCTGGATGAGCTCTCTGATCTAGCTTATGGCACAGAAATCCAAACTGAACATGCAGGGATGGTATACTTAAAATCTTGTACTGCAACTTAAGACATCATATCAACAAAACACCGCTTGAGTTTCTTTTAGAATGAAG